GAAGAGGCGGGGGCGGGAAGGGGACAGCGAGGGAAAGGGGGCGACGCTCCGCGAGGGTGGATGAGATAGAAACTCCTGGGGGGTCACTTCGGTGAAAATCACCGCGGTCCATTTATTCCACCTGCACTCCCCCCACCCCAAAATATAGGTGCCTTGGCCCAATCTTGTTTCAATGGTTCATCTAGCACAGTGTTCCTCAACCTAGGCAACTTGAAGATGGGTGGACTTCAACTCCCAGAATTCCCCAGAATTAAAAGTGGCCAAGTTTGAGAGGCGCTGCACTAGATCAGTGTCCCTCAACCTTGACAACTTGAAGATGGGTGGACTTCAACTCCCAGAATTCCCCAGCCACCCCATTCCTCTAACAATAAAGTTAAAAAAGACCAAGGTATAATGACATAATACAGTAAAGCAGTTGCAAAGCATCTTACATCTACCATACACGCGCACACGTGTATGCGTTTTCATTTATTTCTTTGCCTTCGTTCCAACGCAGAGGATTCCAACCACCTCTTTCAACGCTTACCCGGTTTTAATCAATCATATCTAAGGATTGTTGATATTGTTAACAGCGGGCTGCGCAACGCGGAACCAGGTCTTTTAAAAGACCTTGCAGCTGCGTTTGCCAAGAATGCAACCTTGAGTCCGTTTTGCATGCTTAGCCTACTGCACACTGTCTGCCCGTTCATTCGTTTCTATTTATTTAATTTTTTTGCAACCGTAAGACTCTTGGCAGGTTTCAGCGTCAATAATAAGAGACCTGGCTGTTTCTCCAGGTGTTTGAGCCACCAGATTAGGCAAGCTCGGTTGTTGATGTGCTTTTGTAATTGAAATATATTATCTACCTAGGTCAGTGTTTCTCATCCTTGGCAACTCTGTGTGGACTGTGTGAGCCATGGCTGGCTGGGGAATTCTGGGAGCTGAAGTCCACACATCTTAGAGTTACCAAGGTTGAGAAACACTGACATAGGGCATCATGGGCTATTGTTTGTAACTGTTTTTTTAATCTTTGTTCGTCACTGAGTCTTTGCTGTAAGATGGGCAGCCACACAAATTATTTAAATAAATAAAATGCCCATCGTACAAATACAATTACATAACAAGAAACAATGCACAGTTTAGCTGGTTTATGGTTCAAAATACATTGCACCAACCCAGAAAACTGGTGAATTCAGCAATCACGTTGGGTGAACCTAGCCTATGAGAGTCTTTTTATGAAAGTCATGTTGCATAAATTCTGCAGCTGTTCTCCCATCCCACCCCTTGTAGTTCAAATACAGGTAGTCCTCGGCTTATGACCATTTGTTTAACGACCATTTGAAGTTACGACAGCACTGAAAAAAGTGACTTACAACCAGTCTTTGCAGTTATGTCCATCGCAATGTCCCCACAGTCACATGATCAAAATTTGGGTGCTTGGCAATCAGCATGTATTTATGACAGTTGCAGTGTCCCAGGGTCACATGATCACCATTTGTGACCTCCCCAGGGGGTTTCCAAGAGGCAAAGTGAATGGGGGAAGCTGGATTCGCTTAAAGGCCGCATGATTTGCTTAACAACTGTGGAAAACAAGGTTGTAAAATCAGGCGAGACTCACTTCATGACCTCATTGATTAGCAATGGACGTTTCGGTCCCAGTTGTGGTCGTAAGTCAAGGACTATCTGTAGCAGCATGGGAAGGATGTTTTTGATCAAGAAAATCCCACCCAGTTCAAACTCCTTTGCCCGTTTCTTCTGCCGAGAGCAAATTTGGAGCCTGAGGACCATACTCTCTCTGACAAATGGCCATTCAGCTTCTTTAAAGACCTTCAATGAAGGGAAGGAGCCATTCCATCAGGCTGCAGCAGAGGAAGTAAAGAGACACCAAGATGTTCTAATTCAGCTTTCCTTGGCTGACCTCCAACGCCATTAGGTGGGAAAGCTCTAGGGCAGTGTTTCTCAACCTTGGCAACTTTAAGATGTGTGGACTTCAACTCCCAGAGTTCTCCAGCCAGGTTGAGAAACACTGCTTAGGGAGTGAAGATGGGCAGCCACAAACTCACCCAAGGAAGATGAGTGACTGCAATAGGCCTTCTTGTAGGAAAGACAGTAGGATCCTGATCAAAGCAACACAAATGAAAGAATCCTCACATACAGTTCCAGTCTAGGATGAGCAAATTGCATCCCACAAGAGAGTAGAAAAGGAAGATTACACCAGGCTGCAGACATTCAGACAACCACTAGAGGGCAGCAGAAAGATAAGAAAAGTCTACCTCCTTTCTGACATCTAGTGGCCGTCTGAATGTTTGCAGTCTGGATCCAGTGGTTCATTTAAGAGGCAAAATTAAAGTGGACAGAAAAGATAGACAAATGTGAGCCCACCGGAGGATGAAAGTGGGTTGAGAGCATACTTAAAAAATCCAGACTATCCGGCATAAGTGTAGATGTCAGGACAACTTAATGGTATCTGAGGGAAATCCACAGGGAACTCTGTGTTTTAACAAGAATTTGAACAGGTTGGATTGCTTGGATTCAAAATGAATCTAAATAATTTTAAGCTTAAATAATGACAGCCAGTTTGGTCTAAGGGTTAAGGTACTGGACTACGCACAGGGAAACTGAGTCTAGTCCTGGTTCAGCATGGGGGCCAAGTGGGGGACTTTGAGTTGGTCTCTCTCTTTCAGCTCTAGGAAGAAGGCGGCCAAGGCAAACCACTTCTGAAAAACGTTGCCACGAAAACTGCAGGAACTTGTCCGATGTAGTCACCAGGAGTCAAGGCTGACTCAAAAGCACACACCCTTAAAAATATAAATAATTTATTTTGCCCAAGAGAAAGCCTTGTCTTGACTCCCTGATTTAAATCCAGCTGACCAAGGGTACTTCTTCAGATCTTCAGCAAGGGGAGAATCTGGCCCTTAAAACGTGTCAATGTATACATAGAGTAGCTGACCTTCAGGCAGCACATCTCCGAAGGTCACCACGATGAAGCAACCAGGGAAAAAATGGTCCACCTGTTCTGCTGAGAGGGTTCCCAGGGATACCTGGATGAGAAGCTGGATGTTGGAGTAAAGCAGCTTCCACAACTGGTGGGCCTCCCGGGTCAGAATGGAAAAAGCTGGACTTTGATGGACTAGATTGGACATTTCCATCCTTTTAGGGTGGTGGGAACCCTTGGAACGTTGAGAAGAGGCTGTGGGCGCTTTCTCAAAATGGCTGCCCAGACAGTCACCCAGCAAGAGTTTATCTGTTGTTGCAGGTTGCTCACTATTATAGCAGCTTAGCGTTGCTGTTTTCTGTATGCTGCATTTCCAAATAAAACACTTAAAAAAAGACTGTTTTTAAGCTGTCCGGGCAAATTGTATTGCCTCTGCTACTTGAATGTTCTGGACTACTCAGTGCAGAGGGCTTTTAAATTCATTGTTAGGTAATTTTATTTTTTTTAATTCATGGTTAAGTAAAAAATTAAAATTACTTAACCATGAATTTAAAAAATAAAAATTAATTCATTGTTAAGTCATTTTAATGGTTCTTTCAACTGATGTCGTTAGTCGCCTTCAACTCCCCGAGAAAAGGCAGAGTTTAAACCAGTGTTGTCCAAACCTGGCCACTTTAAGATGAGTGGACTTCAACTCCCAGAATTCCCCAGCCAGCCATG